TCACTGGCGAATTCGCCAGACTGTAATAAGATGTTTGGAGACAGAGAGCAGAGAGGAGAAGCAACAGAGGACTTGAATAATCAACTAAGCATCTGCTAATAGCCTGTACCAGAACAACGGTTGCTGCATGGAGGTGGTGGGAGGTCCGTGGTGGGTCTCTTGCCTTCCCTCTGGGAGACTTGAGTTTGCATTCTAACCAGTGCATCTCAGGCACAGTGACCACCCATCTTTCAGTGGAGGCTTGCATGTTGCTATGATGCTTTACAGGTTTCAAAGGCACTTCCTAAGAGGGACCAGGAAGAAAGGCCTGGCAATCCAAACCAGCCAATGAAAACATCCGTAGGCATGACAATTGTCTGGCCCACAACTGATCGTGGGGTTGTGCAGGGCCGGGAGCATTTTCTTTCATTGTGCATGGGGTCACCATGAATCGGGGGACTGACTTCACAGTGGCTGATGGCAACTATGACGACTGAGCCATTTCAAATGAAAGGCAAATGAAAGGGGAGGGGGGTGTATCAGGGCATAACTATTACATGGAAACTCCTAGGGCTCTGTCATTCTTTATACCTGTTGGGATAAATGCCGGGAGTGGGGGCACACAGACTCGCTGGCAAACCTGCTGGCTCCCCATTGCCAGAGCTCATGATTCTGGGGGCTAGCCCCAACCTGTGTGGCATACAGGAAGGAAGTGCATGCACCTGTGTGTGCGCACAGAGTACAGCGGGACGAAAAGGCAGCCTGTAGATCGAACAAGACATCAGCCTTCGTCCTCAACACAGGTTGTCCAAGTGCGCGTTTCCCGGGGTAGTCACAGCCACACCACAGCCGGTGCAATAACCTGGCTGTTAGCACCAGACTTTGTCAGACGTGTGCCACTCAGAAAGGGAACAGCTGTAACTGCAAATGACAGCCAAACGATGGCGGGTTTCCGACGCGCCTGGTCCCATGCACCTGCACCGCCGTCATCTTAAATGAACAGCGACAACAAACAAGCGTGAGGAAAAGTCCTGACTGTAGAAATACTGGCTTGTCACAATTTATGGAGGGAGAGAGAACTCAGTATGTCCGTCTCAGTGAGTGGCGGCCGTACCATCGCAGGCAGGCTTCGGAACAGGTGTTGCTGAGTGGATTCTGACTCATGGCCACTCCATGTATTGCAGAGAACAATATCCCTTAGAGTGTCCGTGCCTGTGAGCTTGCAGAAGCAGGTTACCAGGGCTTTCTTGCTTGGCGCCCCTAGATGGGTTTGGACCATCAACGTTTCTGTTAGCAGTAGGTGCTGAATTATTTGTATCACCAGGGACACCATTCAGTGGGGATTCAGTCGCTGCCATCAAATCAAGTCTGACGAACAGCGACCTTATAAGACAGGACCACCTGCCCCTGTGGGTTTCTGAGACCACAGCTGTTCGTGGAGCAGAAAGTCTCTTCTTTCTCCTTTGGAGCAGCTGGTGGTTTCAAACTGCTGACCTTAAGGATCACATAATCACTACAGCACCAAGGATCCTTTCATGGAGACAGTGGGCTAGAACTCATAGAGGCCTGGATCTGAATCCTGACTCTGTTGTTTACTAGCCCTGTGTTCTTGGGGAAGCGAGGCAACGTCTCTGAGTCTACACTTCCTTACATAGGAGTCCCCTGCTCTCCCAAAGTGGAGGATTCGGACACAACTTCACAGCAGCTGGGAAAAAAGAGGCAAGTCAAGAAGCATTTCGCATTAGTTTACATGGGAAACATTTTTGAGAAAATAACCCAGCACAGCAAACTAAGCGTAGCACATAGCACCTAAAATACCACTGACCTCCAGCGTTCACAGACACGCGCAGAGCTGTGGCCGCCTGATGCTGAGATGCTGGGTGCCTGTCCTGGAAGGAGCTTGTCAGGGGCCATGCTGCCTGCTCAAGGCGTGTACTGCCTTTTCAACAGCTCAGAGGTACTTGCATCAAAGGAAAAATCCTTTTGGATTTCAAACTGCTTTAGGTTAGCAAAAACCGGTACTCCTCAGTGTAAGGCATTGGTAAAAGCTAAGTGGTGAAAGTGAACTTTAGGAAAGCAGGGAGCCCTGTATCCACTGTCATCAAGTGGAATAGGGCTTATGCTGTCCCTGTAGGAGTTTCCAAAGCTGTCAACAGTTACAGAAGCACAGTGCTGAATTTTTCTCCCACGGAGTGGCTAGTGTGTTCAAACTCCTGGCCTGTCTTCTGTGTAACAGCTGAGTGTGTAACCACTTCCCTCCCAGGACTTGTTCCCTGTCCCTAGTAGATGGACATAATCCTCGCTGATCTACAGCATCGTTAGGCGCAGTCATGACCATAGGTTGAGCGCTTAACACCGTGTCCAGCAGAGAATATGTACTCAAGCAGCAGGAGCGACTGTCAGACCTGCCTAATTAGAGACTGTACTCTGCCACCTAACTCAGAGAGGACGACTCACACATTACACGGGCATTCCGTTTTGTTTCAAGAATTAGAAACATGGCTACGTTGGCTGGGTCCTGAGGAGAGAAGGAGACAGAAGAGCTGATCCTAATGGGTTGAGGTTTCCCTGGGATAGGATAACCAGAGAAGAGTGGCTTAGGAGACACTGAACTGCTTAGCAGTTTAACATACCACCGGAACGATGTTCTTTTCCCAGGGAAGAAATGCCAAGGAAGATCCCTCCTATTTGAAAGTATTTGGGGAGCCCTTGAAATGAAGCCCATCTGCTAACGGGTCACTGTTACCCACACTTCTGTCATGGCCCTAATGGGGGACTTCAATTGCCAAGGTGTCTTCGAGTGACAGAAATCATGCGGTGAGTCCAGTGCCTCTGTTCGTTGACTGGGCGACATGAGGTTCATGAGGATGCCGCCCTCCAATGCCTGGGAAACAGGTGTGAAGGTTGAGATCGCGCTACAAGAGCAGAGGTCTTAGAAATCTTTTCTGCCACATGAGAATAAACCTCATGTTCTAATTAAGCTGAGGCAATTAGCCACCCACAGATATTTAACACTGCTTCCCATGACCAGGCAATCATCTGGATTAAAACCCATTTTAAAGTCAGGAGCAAACCCCAGAGCTCCGCTGGCACATGGCTCCCACCAATCAGTTAGCCCACAGGCACATTCGGCAAACCTTCTGAGGGCAGCTCAGAGCCTGGAGGGAGAGGTTCTATGAATGAGCCACCTGGGGGATGGAAAAGGTGTTACAAAAGGCGGGCAGAGAGCAGCGAATTTCAGAGTTTACAGGAAGAAACCTCAGGTTTGGAGAGTGACACCTGTCTCTAGTCGGTTGGACAAATGAAGGCAAGCGGATGCCTCAAGTTTCCCTGGTCTTTGAATTCCCTGGTGGACTTCACAAATGATTCACCCTCAAGGGCCACACATCACAGGAAACTGTTTCTGTTGACTGGAACCAAAGCCCAAGCAAGACTCATAGTGTGCAGCCAACTGACGTGTCCTCTCCCCTTGTCACTGTTTGTCACTAGAGCAATGACAGGAAGCACACTGAGCCCTCAGGCTCAGGAGTTTCCCAGATGAACTCCAAACAACTGAGTTCACGCTCTTTCCTTGGACCAGTGAGGTCCACCCATGCCCAAGACTCCCCGTCATGAGAACGGTATCGGCCAAAGATTCCAGACCTAGCAGGTAGCACTACACATGATTAGTGGCAAATGCTTCTGATGAAAGTACTGGCAGACTTTATTTTATTGTGCTTAGCTCTACTGTTCTTCACAGATTTCGGCCCTTTTACGAATTGAAGGTTTATGGGTACCTTGTGGGCGCCGTGTTGTCCAACAGCAGTTGACCATGTTGTGGCTTTGTGTCACATCTTGGTAATTATTACAATATTTCAAACTTGCCTTTTCACAGTGCTGTTACACGCTTAGCAGATGACAGAACACACTGCCACTGCGTCTATTCCGGCCCACAGCGACCCTACGGAATAGGGTAGCACTGCCCGTTTGGGTTTCTGAGACCGTCATTCTTTACAGGAGCAGACAGCCTCCCCTCTCCCTCCTCCAGACACAAGAGGATCGAGCAAAACAATCGTACAGGCATGACTTTCATAGACACCCAGAAAGAAACAATCCAAGTACCTCCCGTTCTCGCAGCGGCCTGGAAAACAAGCGTGTCTCCAACGTATGCCTGGTCTCAAGACTACGTCCTTCAGCTCCTCCAAAGCTCTTTTTAACTTTTTCTTTGAGAGCTGTGCTAGTCCAATAACCCGTTGCTTATTCTAGTTAATCCCAAACCCTGTTACTTGTGAACAGAAGAAGACCTTTTCCCTCTGGTTGCTGTTGTTGTTTTTAGTTGGAAAGTTTACATCAAGCAGACAACCAAACTGTGGCTCTAGCTCAGTGCTGTCGAACAGAAGATGGGCATTTTCTAGTAGCCATTTGAAAAAAGTAAAGAGAGAGATACAAAATCAGTTACCATAGAATATGTGATTTGACTGAATGTACCAAGAAACATTATATTTTCAGTCTACACTGATTCCAAAATACAAGCCATCTAGCACATAATGAACAAGTATTGCCCATTTTTATGCACTGTTTGTCTCACACCATATGGGACTGCACAGATCTAGAGCCATGCTTAATTTGACATGGGAAATCTCTCATAGGTCAATTATATAAACATGCCATTCCAAACATGGTCTTATTTTAGTTTTATAAAAATCCACACCTCTGTGTTCAGATATATGTGGAAAGCAGTCCGTAAGGACAGATGCCAAAAGGCAACTGTAGGGATCTCTGAAAGGGTAGCTTTAGGGATAATCTTTATTCTCTTTATTTGTACTCTCCAATATTTTCTCCGTCGTTTGCAGTAAACAGGTCCTGCTTTATCTCTTAGGGGATCAATAAAGCCAGTCTTTCTTTTCAAAGAAACACCTGTCACTTGTTTGCAATTTTTACACCCCAAATCTCCTGGCCCTCTAGCTGATTTTCCAACCAACAGAAAGGAACACACACACACACATACACACACCCTGCCTCAGTCCCCCCGTCATACTCACATCCAATCATCATGATGGCCACCGCAAAGATCTTCTCAATGTCTGTGGATGGGGCTATGTTTCCAAAGCCCACGCTGGTGAGGCTGGTCATGGTGAAATACAAGGAGGAGATGTAGACGGAATTCTTGCTGGGCCCACCTTCCCACTTCCCAGAGCCAGACCCATTAAACTGGTATGGCGTGCCAATGTCCATGGCCAGTTGGTAAAGCCAGCTGTTGTTGCGGATTGTCTTGGTGTCCTCGTCAAAGATCTCATAGTCCCCGATGCTGTACCAGATGCAGGCCATCCAGTGAGCAGCCAGCCCGAACACACACACCAGCAGCACCAGCACAGCAGCTCCGTATTCAATATAGTGGTCCAGCTTACGGGCCACCCGGCCCAGGCGGAGCAGCCGGACGACTTTGAGAGAGCTGAACAGGCTGCTGATGCCCTGCGAGGAAGAGGAACACGGCGTCAGGGCAAAGACCAAGGATGCAAAACCTTTCCCTTCTCCCCAGCATGCTGGTGCCCTGAGCAGGCATATTCCACAAGATGCAATATTATACAATCTTAAAAAAAAGTCTTTGCATAAATAATAAGAAAAAAATGCTCACAATATGAAAGTAAGCAAAAAAATCAAGAGGCAAACTGCTGTATCTATACAGAGACATGTATAGCATTCATTCTAGTTATGCATAAGTACACATACATATGAAGGGTCCTTGGAAAAAATGCCATTATCTTTTCACTCAATTTTCACACAAATTTTTTGAAGCCCTTCATATATATGTAGGCAAACAGCCAGGAGACACACCAAACCGTTAACAGTGGTTGTCATTGCACTGAAATCACAGGCAAATTTTGGGGCTATATTTGTGTATATGTGATATATATAATAACTCAGTATTATACTGAGTTAATATTTTAAACCATGTCAGATTTTTAAAAGGAGAGAAGAGTTAATTACTTTACATTAAAAAAAAAAACAACAACTGAAATGCCCAGCCTCTATTTTCCTAGGACAATTACAAGTGCTTGGAAAGTTGTCACTTCTTTCTGTAGAGTTAATCAAGCTAGTGATTATCAGCCACCATCTGCATTACTGCTATTCATCAGGAACTCAGAGAGCTGAACCTTGGTGTGCAGAGTAGAAATCGGCCAAATGGGGCCTCACACCCAAGCAGTGGCCACTAGCATGCTGCATGGTTTAGACAATTCATGTGTCTTGGTTCCCTTATCCAGTCAATGAGCACAGCGACTGGAGGCCCCCTTCATCTTCTCCAAATGCCAGCAAATTAATATTCCCCAAGAGAGCCGAACCACAGAGGCAGTGGCATCGCAAATGTTGGTATCACTCACGTACTTCCTCCCTTACCAGATGGCTGAGCAATCCCTACAGGGAGGTACAGAAGACGGATAAGGATCAAGGATGATGCTCTCTCTCTCTCAGGGCACGTGCATTTTAATAGAGGAGAAAACCTTGATTCGCAAATGTCCAGTAGTGGAATTAAAAGGCCCCTGGCAAGCTGGAGATAGGAGATACTTTAGGAGGCAAAGGATCCTTTTTGATGACTCAGAAATCAAACCTTGTGTAAGCCACCACCTACCCTCCACCTCCTCATGAGGAGGTCCCGCCCATCATCTCCCAAAGCTGCTCTCCTCCACTGCACTTAATAGGCTAGCCCGGGCAAAAATGCCTTGTCCTTGCCCTCAGTCATAGTTAATCCCAAGCAACACCTATGGGGAATCAATGATGCCATTGTTTTCTCGTTCATAGCTTTCTCTCTAATGCCTAGCAAATGAAAGATGTCCAGAAAGATTGAGGAGGGGAGCAGACAAACATCTAAAAGCTAGTGAGAAAAAAAGCAAGATGTGATTCACGAGAAGTTATTTCTACATAACCATCTAGGAACAGGGAGGGAACATGGAGTCACCTAGTCCAACACCCCCCAAATTCTGCAATGGACTCAGCAGCCTCCCTACACAATGGTCACCCAACCCCCCTCACACCACGCACATCCCCACTCCTTCTGGAAAGTTCCACACCATGGCAGCGGTGCATGGAGGTGAACAGTGCAATTCTCACACTCTTTCCTTATCTCCCATCTCATTTCATCCTTCTTCCCTCTCCAGCCCTTCCCAATGGTCCATCCTGAACCAACTACTACCTAAGGCCATGCTAGTTTCTGATGCACACTCAAAACAGCTCAAGCAGCCCTCCTCATGAATGCGCAGTGTACTTCCATGTCTGTTCAGGTCCCTCAGCCCAGAAGGCCTATGTTACCCAAGTGACATACTAGCCAATCTTCACCTGTCTCCACCTCCAGCCTGAACCTTCATGACTGCCCTGTAGTGACAACCAGCCACACACTGCCTCCTGTGTCCATGATACTCAGTGTCTTCAACATTTGAACGTATTGCCTGATGTGATAGTTAAAACTAGATGCCCTTGTGGCCACTCCAACGCCTGGTTGTCCCATGTGTGTCAGAGTGGAACTATGCCCTAGGGTTTTCAATGGCTGCCTTCCAGAAAGCCGATCTGGGTGGACTTGAACATCTACTTGGTTAGCAGTCAAGTGTGTTAACCTTTTTTACCAGTCAGGGAAGCTCATTATAGTGTTTGTGTGGCCATGAGTCTATTGAACTTCACAGTGGCCAGAACTGACCAGACCAGAAGTCAGACCAGAACTGCCCTACTGGGCTTGCTAACCAGTCTTCTTCATGGGAGTAGATGTCCAGGCCTTTTCTCCTACAGAGCTGCTGGTGGGATTAAAAGTTGACCTTTCATTTGTTTGGGCTTGGAGCTTTAACCATTGTGCCACCAGGACCCCTTGCCCCAAATAGTTACCTATACTAATTTCTCTACTATGTCAGTCATGTCAGGCATGGTTCAAAATCAAGTGTGCATCAAGTTTGTATCCCTCCATTATATTTATTCGATCTATGCTGAACAAATCAACAAAGAAGCTGAACTAACTATATAAAAGGAGCCCTGGTGGTACTGCTGGATAAGTACTGGACATAAGATTAGCAGTTCAAAGCCACTAGCCACTCCACAGGAGAAAGATGAGGCTGTTTGCTCTAGTAAAGATTTTACCATCTTGGAAACTATAAAAGCCTGCTACGAGTCAGAATTTACTTCATAGCAGTGGGTTTGGGACTACAGGAAGCGGAATGCAGGTCATTGATAACCAGCAATATGCAGATGACACAATCTTGCTGCTGAAAGTGAGGATGGCTTGAGGCACATAGCTAATGAAACTGACACTTCAACCCTCCGGATGGATTGCAACTCAATGTAAAGAAACCAAAAATTAGACAGCATCACGATATACCGAGAAAAGACTGAAGTTGTGAAGGGCTTTAGTTTATTTGGATCCACAGTCAATGCTCATGGAAGTAACAGTCAAGAAATCAAACATAAGAACATATTGCACTGGGCAAATCGGTTGCACAAGACCTCTTTAAAGTGTTACAGCCCAAAGATGTCCCTTTGAGGACTAAGGTACACCTCACCCAAGCCATGGTACTGTCAGTGGTGTCCTCCGTGTGTGTGAAACCTGAACAATGAACAAGGAAGACGAGACGAATCGATCCTTTGAAGTCGGGGATTGGCAAAGATTACTGAGAGTCCCAGGACTGCCAGGAGAACTAACAAGTCTGTCTTGAAAGACGTACTTCCAGAACGCTCCTGAGGAGCCAGGATAGCCAGACGTTAGGCAGCTTATCAAGCGAGACTAATTTCTGGAAAATAATATTATAAGAGGTAAAACAGACGATCGGTAAAAAAGAGGGAGGCCCTTAATGAGATGTACTGACACAGTGGCTGCAACGAGGTCTCAAACATGGAGGTACTGACGCGGTCACAGAAGTGGAGCAGGTGTATTCTGTTGCACATACGGTCACTGTGAGTTGGGACCTTTGGTGACACCTGACAACTACAACAGACTCATCCCTCCCTCGTATCAGGCACATCTTGAAGGCAGTGCCACTTATTATTCATTCTAGAAGCCCCAACACGGTGGAGAACTCAGCACTTGGTCAAGAGATGGTGCACATTCTGTAAACTGAATTGAAGAGTTTGAATGATTAGAGAATTCTTTCTCACTTTTAAGGAGACCCTGGAACAATATAAAATAAGCACTCCTCCATTGCTTTTACAAATGAGTGTGCATGCTGATGTTCCAATTCATAGTTGTGGCATAAGTTCTATTGGATAAACAGCTGGAATTCTAGCTGTTTAAAAGGAGTTCCAGCGACTAATTTCTTTACTTATATGCCTGAAGCTCCACAGACGAGTTAGATAAAACAGAGCATGCCAATTTTCAATTTTATTTTAGTACACGAAAAACATGACAGCACCATATGGCAGGGAATTGTATTTTCCCCAAAGATTTCGCGCATCACAAAACCCACCTCACATTTCAAATACTTCCAGAACATTTTTTATCATAACCTTGAAATTACGAAGGACCCAGACTTACTAGTTGGATGTACCTGACAGAAGAGATAACAAGAGCCGGTGGGGATAACCTTCCTCAATGAAGGCCAACAACTACGACGGGAAAGAACACTTCTGAAACGTCCATAGTATCGATGCAATCCAAATTGAAATGGGTTCTTGGGAACTATCAAGTTTTGCCTATGCCCACAGCCACCAAATGTATGCTCCCTTCTACTTTTTTTTTAATGTCATGGACATGCACACAACCCACTGTCACAGACTGACAAAGCTGTGTGATGCAAAGAACTGTGGTATCACAGTGGCATCCAGGTTCTGCAGGTAGGCTTTTTGTTTTGATGGCTCAAAACCTCTCAGTCCTGACTATTACCCTCCTGCATCTCCTTCGGGCTGAAAAAAATCCTTCGCATACTTTTGTCCTTTGGCATCGACAGCCATCTACAAAGTCCCCGCCTCAATTGCCCACACCACTTTCTTGCTTTCCTTGAAGCCTGACTCTCCCTAACAGACTGCTTTTCTCCTGCTTCTTCTCCTCTACATTCTGGATTTAAAAGTAAGGAAATGTCAAACTCCACGCTGACCGTTTCCAAACAAGTGCATGCCACTTACCACCAAAATATAAATAAATGAAGCAAAACTTCTTTTAAAACGTATGCTATCCAACAATTCTACTGCATATCTGTCATCGGATTATTAATAAATAATATCTACAGAATGGTGACCAATATCCCAGAAGGTGGGCTTAATTGTTTCATTAAATATCAATTATCAACTAGGTGCTTCCTTTGCGTGCCTTGCATCACTGGCTCCACAGTCCATCTCCTTTGCAGGGGGCGGGGAGCGCATTCAACACTCTGGTCTCGCAATTCTTTGACATCTCCATTTCCATTGACCTTTGCCCCTGCTCCACACCTACAGCCTGGTCATACTGGAAGCGGCACCACCTCTCAAACCTCACACGGCAGCATGTGAGTACAACCTCCTAGTCC